ACAAGTCTGGCTCGCAGTGTCTCGCTATTATATGCCGGGGCACTGTTTGTGTGGGAATATGTATCATTATGGGGTTTCTGTCAGATGGTTCAACGCTAGGCCAACTTGGCCCTGCCGTTTACGGACATGCAATATTAAGCTGGGACAACTTCAGCTCTGTGCCAGTGTAAAGTGTGTAAATGTGACAGTCCATCGTAGACACATGACAGCGCCATTAGGAACCAGATTAAGAAATACACTGAGTCTAATAAACCTGTGTTGACACTGGACTTGTATGAAGATAAATGCCACTTCACCAGCCACAGATTGAGCCGGGAATAATGGGGCTTTTTTCTCTAATGACCAGCTGCTGGATTGTAGCTGCACTATCAGCAATAACAAAGTAATAACAGCTCACACTCACTTTTCTTATTAACCCCCGACGAGGAGGTCATGTTTTGGGTTTGTTAATGACCGGAATATCTCAAAAATGAATGAACCAAATTCAATGACATTTGTGGCCATGGGTTTAGTTTTTGATGCAGTTCTGTACATTTTAAAAATGTTTTTTAACAGTTCAAGCTCTTGCATTTTTGCCACTTCTCCTGAACTTGCTCTATCTAGATGTAAGACTAAAAAGACTAAAGGGGACGTAGCTTTGCTGGAACAACCTGCCCGATGAACTAAGACTCTCAAAATCAGTATCTTCTCTTAAATCGCTTCTGAAAACACAGCTCTTTCACAAAGCTTTTGGATAATCTCTTTTAAATATTTCACATTGCTTCCTTGTGTTTCTATTTTTATTGTTTTTATTGTTTCATTTTTTATCTTGAGTAAATTGCCTGCATGTGTTTGTTGTTTTTGTTATTTTATCCTTGTGAAGCACTTTGTAATCTCAGATTTTGATGAGCGCTCTATAGATAAACTGTATTATTATTATTATTATCATTATTATCTTGAAAACAAACCACTCTCATGTAGGTCGTAATTGTCTGTCACAGTCTGGATCCATTTGTAGATTAAACATTCTCTACTATTTTCTATTATTAAATAAAACGACAAGTGTAGATGATGTTGCAGCTTCGGAGAGGAATGCTCCAGGCATGTAAACACGACCCTAAGTGACCTTTTCGGTCTTTCCTGTGTGTATTGGATTTTGAGCACTGCCGCTGCCAGTGTTGTCTAACTCATCCTGCGTACACACCGATGGAGGGCTGAAGCTGAAGCTGAAGCTGCTGCTGCTGCTTTGCTGACATGCTGTCGTCACTGCTCAGCCTGTGCAGACACGGTGCAGGCAGACAGCTGTAAAATGCATGTAAATACGACATCCAGAGTTCAAATCAAGCATGTATCATACTTCTCTCTCTCTCATATTTCCTGTGAATCTTCTAGTACCCCCCCCCCCTGCATATAATGTATAATCCTAATAATCTAACATAGGAACACACTTGTGAACAGAAGCTGGTAAGTGTGTGTGCCTTCACGTTACCCCTCTCTGTCTCCATAAGGATCGACCTGGAGGAGTGGGAGCATGTGACCTGTATGAAGACGGTGGCTCTGAGGAGTCAGGAGACAGTGTCGGGGCTGAAGGGCTACATCGCAGCGGGGACCTGCCTGATGCAGGGGGAGGAGGTGACCTGCAGGGGCCGGGTGAGCAGCACACAGTCTCTCTGTTTGTATAAAATGGATCGCAGTAACGACATCTGGTGAAAATGAGAAATAAAAGCCTTTCCTTTAGCTGCAAAGCCTCAAAAGAACTGAGGCTGCTTCGCTTCCATCATTTAAAGGTTTGAATCTTGTGTTCAGATTTTGATCCTGGATGTGATTGAAGTTGTGCCAGAGCCGGGCCAGCCCCTCACCAAGAACAAGTTCAAAGTGCTGTACGAGAAGGAACAGAAGGGACCGGTGACGGCTATGTGCCACTGCAACGGATACCTGGTCTCAGCCATCGGACAGAAGGTGTCACAACATCACAGCAACTGCAGTTCACTTAGCTGGAATTAGTAAAAACACTCCTGCCTCACACTGTGTCCAGCTACAGAACAATAAAACTGGACTTGAACTTTATCTAAAAAATGTTTAAAAATTCATTGCATTGTGTTCCCCGCACAGATCTTCCTGTGGGTGCTGAAGGACAACGACCTGACGGGCATGGCCTTCATCGACACTCAGCTCTACATCCACCAGATGTTCAGCATCAAGAACTTCATCCTGGCTGCCGACCTGATGAAGAGCATCTCGCTGCTGCGCTACCAGGAGGAGAGCAAGACGCTGTCGCTCGTCAGCAGGGTGAGCGACTTACTGTCAAACCGCTTGAAGACGCGGCTATAATTGAATTCAGACCCACGAGTTCACTTCTTTCTTCTGAAGAGTTAGAGTTGAGGCTGAGGAGAGGCTGCAAACAGGCGGGCATTAGTGTTTTATTCAAGAGCAGAGGGAGATTAACTATAACCTGTGGGCTGCTGTACAAGCAGTGGAGTGTTTATTGATTAAGATGTACAAGTGGGTATTGATGGCATCTCTCCTGTGGGTGTTTGGGTTCAGTCGAGTTAATCTTGGAGAGAGCAGGTCTGGCAGCTGGAGATAACTCAGGGAGCGCAGTTGCCTTTGTTGGGATTTAACTGTTTTCTTATTGTTTTGGCACCAGGATGCAAAGCCCCTGGAGGTTTACAGCATCGAATTCATGGTGGATAACAACCAGCTTGGATTCTTGGGTAATGTTTTTAATGCCCCTTGGAAGAAAATTCGATTAAGTTCGCAAAAGTAAAATCCTTCTGTTCTAATTAACCTTTTATTTTATTTTCCTCTCAGTGTCAGATCGAGATAAGAACCTGTATGTGTACATGTATTTACCTGAAGGTAAGTCATACTGTCATACATCTTCAAATGTAATGTAACTCGGTGTCAAAGTGCACATCCAGTCATGTGATTTGTGGTCTGTGTGTTTGCAGCTAAAGAGAGCTTTGGAGGGATGCGTCTGCTGAGGCGAGCCGACTTTAACGCCGGTGCTAACATTAACACTTTCTGGCGGATGCCGTGCAGAGGAGCGCTGGACGCTGGCAGCAAGAAGTCTCTGACCTGGGACAACAAGCACATCACATGGTTTGGTAAGACTCCTGTCACATGGCTGGAAATAGGATGTGTGACGATGGCGGGGTGGTTTTTCATAGGGACTATTTCTTGAATAGAAAGTAGTTCCAATGAAACCTGTAGACATTGTGTTCTGTTGAGACAGTGTCTGAAAGCAGATGTTGGCAACACTGTCCTTGGTATCTCTCTCTCTCTCTCTCACACACACACACACACACACACACACACACACACACATATATAAACTAACACATTGACAATGGACCCGTCAGTCGGATCGACAGAAACATTGCACAGTGTTTATTTGCATAGAGAGCGGGGAAGTGAGATCCAATCACAGGTCACTGGAGACATGTGGAGACGCATTCTGATGCCAGGTGTGGACTGACGTACGTAGAGCTGTCGACTTGTGATTTGAATGCCCCGAGACGCATGTTAATGCCAGGTGTGAACAGGGCCGCTGATACAGAAGGAGACGGAGCTGAGCTCCGTCAGGGTAAGATTTGGATGTCAGGAGGCAGAGCCCAGCACTGGTGGGCTGTGGCCCGGTTTAACGCTGCATCTGATGAGCATGTGCCTCGAATAGGAAGTAGAGAAAAGTAGATACTTTGCTACAGTGGACTGGGAAAGTTAATGTTCTTTCATGTCGGCAGACGTGGACGAACACCAACAGTTACACCGAAGAGAACAACAGACAGCAGTGTTGCCATGTCACTCTTTATCTGGTCAGGCAGGTAAAAATTGCTCTCGGGGGTTAGTGATAATTTGGACAACTTTTTGTCTCGTTTATGTGGATATACTATTAAAGATAGTCTTGAGGTGAACCTAACGGAGGCTCTGAAGGGACATATTAACAAAAACAGTTAGGCTTGTTTGAATCTGGCTGTGTTGAACACAGGTAGACCGCTGCACAGGGGAAAGAAACTGTATACTATCTGTATTTTAAAGAAAATGTCAATGACCTTTGTCAGGTATTGATGGATCTAATTTATAAAAAAGGAGCTGAGAAGAACTCATTCACACGTTCATTCAGTTTTTCTAAAACACAAGAAGTCTGAGCTTCAAACACCCAAATGTTGGATGTGGACTAAACCACGTTTCTCATCTGTGTTCCCATAGCAACCCTCGATGGAGGAGTCGGCCTTCTTCTCCCCATGCAGGAGAAGACTTACCGACGACTGCTGATGTTACAGAACGCTCTGACCACCATGCTGCCTCATCATGCTGGTCTAAACCCAAAAGCCTTCAGGTTCACATCTGCCTTCAGTTCTTTACTAGTCACATATCAGGTGTCACTGCTCAAAGATGGGATCGTATTTAGCTACTTGATGTTTGACTTGCTATAACTGTCCCGTGTGTGTGTGCCGTGTCCAGGATGCTGCACAGCGACAGACGGAGCCTGCAGAACGCTGTGAGAAACATCCTGGATGGAGAACTCCTCAACAAGTACTTGTACCTCAGCACCATGGAGCGCAGTGAGCTGGCCAAGAAGATTGGAACCACTCAGGACATAGTAAGAACACTAACTGAGAGGAAAGAGAAAGCGGTCGAGTTCGTTTTCTTGTTCCTGTTTTCATTTTATCCGTCGTCTCTCTTCAGATCCTGGATGACCTCCTGGAGATCGACAGAGTAACAGCTCATTTCTGAGCCACATTCCCACGTCTCTTCCACTGAAAGCTGTTTTATATCATCAGGTGGAAACCATGTTTTGTTATGATCATCTCTGTGAAAACCTTATTTGTTTTTCTTACTTGTTAGACAGAAAAAAAAATGGGAAGTTGTGTTTTCTTAGAATGTTTTGTATAAAAAAAAGGAAAAGAAAATCGGTAAAACTAATTACACAAGCCTGGTGCGAGTTTTGAGTTTGTTCACATTGAGCTTCGAGTGATTGAGACAGGAATGCTTTACAAAAAGGAGGTAGAACATTTTATTAACATTGTTAAATAATTTAAAAACATCTAACCTGCACAGTATAGTCACAGTTGAATATTTCAGGGGAAACAATTTGGAGATTTAATATTTTGCCTTTTTGTTTTTGGACAGTTTGTCTTGTGGGGATGCAGCTTAACATTTCGTTTACCACGGTACAAATATTACACATTCATGAAATACAAGGACCCAGTTCGATGTATTGCAAAGCCAGGGTGATACAGCTGCGACAAAATAACTCGAGAGAATAAATAGGTCAATTTATACCAGTTTCTTTTAAAATAGCTCAAATTTGGATTTCAATAACATTTATTTTACTAAGATAAAACTAAAACAAATTGATGTAAATACTAAAAACTGTGTAATATCCTTAATTTAATTTAAAAACATTACAATAGGCTTTTACGTTTTGACACTGTGGCCTCTGGGAGTCTAAATCTTGAGCAGATTTGGTGCTTTATGGTCCTGAAGTTCAATACATTCTCACCCATTTTGAAGACGACATATGTGTTACAGTCCGGGATGTGATTTGGCGTGGAAACACTCCAGCAGCACCATTACGAGCAGCACTCTGAGCTGCTGCAGTAAGTGAAGGCTCCTTGCTCTAGGATTGCATTAACTTGTGCTTGGAAACGGTCCTAACGCTGTGCTCCTTCACACGTGCACTACCTCAGGTACTCGTACATGTCAGCGTCCAGAGATATGAGACCGAAGTACGACAGCAGGCTCAGGAGTGAACGCGTCAGACTCATCATCGCCATCTCCGATCTGTGAAGGAGTCGCGTCATTAACTTAAATACAGAAATATAAATATTAAAGTAAATATGAGTGTTTACCTCAAAGCCAGCTCAAACTTGAGGCTCTCCCACGACGTCCTCACCCAGCGGAAGACCCAGAGCCTGGGCAGGATCCCCGTCCTCTCCGCCTGAATCTTCCCCCAGCCTCGAACCGCACTGAAAAACAACATGTACATGGACCTGATAATCATCAAGACTCTCTAGCAACAGGGTAACCACACTGGCAACATGGTGGACAACACACTGCCTTCCTCGGTTCTTTTACAGTTTATCTGGACTAGCAGAACTACACCAGCCTCAGAATTAAAACCAGCCTGTCTGTTCAGTTAGCTTGTACCTATTGTGAATTTTATTTCCCGACACAGATCTCTGTTGACCTCCAAATACTTCAATTTAAACATACTGCATCAGAAATTTTGGAATCCGCTTGTAAACACCAACCGTGTGTGAGTTTTTCTCCACCTGTGTGACTCTCAGTGAGGCGATCAGGTTGTTAATATTTACTCAGTAAACTTTGCCAAATGCCAAAGTGCCCTTTAGCTGTTAAAAGTCCTGGGAAGGGACACTGCATTTCGTGTCACAGCACCGAGTCATCACTGGTCCCTCACTCGCCACACAGTGACCGCAGCAGCGTACGGACTGACGGTGCGTACCTCTTGGCCATGACAAAGTAGCGATCCACCGGCGCTCCCAGAGTGATGTTGATGCTTCGGACCGTGTTGATGTTCCTGAAGACGAGCAGCATGGGCCGCGGCATCGACTTCAGCACCTGCATGATGCTCTCGAAGCGGTGGATGGCCATGTCGCGCATGTAGGTGGTCTCCTCTCTGCTCAGGATGTTGGACAGACCCAGCTCCCGCATGTTGATGGGTCTCTGCAGCAGCATCTCGCAGAAGAGGAAGTACTCTGCAGAGCGAATTACATGAGGCATTCGATTATAGTTTCATTGCGTTGCAGCAGAGTAGATCTGAAAATCAGTGTAATCTAGTTTAAAAGATGCTGAGTAATCACCGTTATCGTGGGACAGCTGGATTCTGATATTGGATTTCAATACTCTTGACAAATTTCTTACACATGAACAGGAGAATATAAAAGATTTACTGACACACGACTGAAGAACGACGTAAAGTTTCCTCACCTTTGACCCCGAGCGCTTTAGAGTACTTCTCCATTGCCGCCTCATCTCGCAGGACGATGGACCTCCACAGTTTACAAAGGGCCACTCTGTCACTAAGGTCAAAGGTTACGCAGTTAAGAGGATGAGACGGCAAAATATTCTCAAGAGGTGTAAACCGACTCATCCAGCTCTTACTTTTGAGTGAGGTATTCATACAGTCCGTGGTCCAACAGCACCAGCTCTGCCTTGTTGTCAGGACCTGGTCTCACCAGAACTGCCAACACAGAGAGTTCATGATGATACTGAAGATGAGGAACCAGCACCTCAAGATGTAGAGGATAGAAACACTACTTATGATCATTTAGACATAAGTAACATCACAAAAACAAAAATTATCAAATGACATGTTGATCAATAGTATGTAGCAAGTACACCAGTACACCAGCCAATATTTATTTATGGTGAGTTTAACCTACACATACTACTGTAACACACGCACATCCACAAACACTGATGTACCCACCATTTCCAGGGTGAGGATCGGCGTGGATGAAACCAGTGTAGAATATTTGCTCAGCAAATGTTTGAATCAGTTTATCTGCAGTCTGAAAGACAAATATTCCGGGAGGGATTTCAGTCAGTGTTTTTGTGATAATACTCTCCTCTTTAAAAAAAAAAAAGTCGTCTCTTTGTCCAGAATCAACTTACATCTTTCAAACTTAACCCTTGACTTTTAATGAGTTCCACGTTGTTGATTTTGCAACCGTTGCAAAACTCTGCTGTCAGCACCCTCTATGAATTAGAGAGAAGAAAATGAAAATGATAAAGAGAGAGACTTTATGAAAGTCCACTTATTCTTGTACCATAACTAATAACCTCACCTTACTAGTTTGCTCCCAGAAGACTTTGGGCACAACGACAAATTTGAAGTGTTTCAGCTCCTGTGCGCACCTCTCAGAATTCCTGGCCTCGTTCTCAAAGTCCAGTTCTTGGGCCAATGTGCCCTTCAAGTCCTGCAGGAATTAAAATGATCTCAATACGAGGCGAAACTTCTTTCTCCTAGATATGTATGGTGCGTCAAAACGGAAATACGACTGTATCCTGTACCTTAAGAACCCAGCGGAATCCAAAACTGGGGTGCATGAACTTAACAATATCCAGCAGGATCTCCAGTGCTCTGATATCACCGTCGAATCGATCCCTGAGGTCAATGTACTGCACCTGTGGGGAGCGGGATTTTACATAAAACAGGATTTTGAAGGATTATGTTGAACATTCTTGCTTTTATTTGAAAAAACAAAAGAAAATCAAATATTGACTTTGCTCTCAGAAACCCGCGCTCACCTTCACAGCCACCGGAGTCCCATCAAACAGCTCTGCCTTGTGAACCTGTGCCAAGCTGGCAGCAGCTATGGGTTCATAGTCAAACGCTTTAAAAAGCTGCTCTGGGGTTTTCTTGAAGTCTTCTTGGAAGAGAGCATCCACCTGTTACAGGCGCAAAAACAATCGTGAGAAACTGCAGGCCGTCCTCTTTCACCCGACCACGTGCCTTTGTTTGTGGTACAGTGCTCACCTCTTTGTACCTCCTGTTCAAGGCCTTGTCCTCCAGTATTTGCAGGGTGCGGATGTACTCGGGGGGCAGGAGGTGGTTGAACGAACACAGACCTTGGCCGAGTTTGATGTATATCCCTCCGTTCCTGACGGCGCCCTGCACCATGCCCTCTGCTGCCCTCTGGTGGCAGGCTGACATCTCAGCCAGGTAGGATGGGCTGCTCTAGCAGGGGAGGACAGACGTAAGACATGATTGTCCGCACAGTATAAACAGCGACATTTCTTTTTTTATTATTATTTCTTAAGGAACAAGAGAGGCTGGACATGAACTGGACCGTACACCGTGACTTTGATCCCGCGTACACTGGGCCACTGACCAATATTTGTGTTAATTATTAATAGTTAAGTTACTTAGTCTTTGTCTGGTCTTTAATTTGTTGTATGCAACATTTGATATTTCCAAGAGCAGGGGGAAAATTCTGAATCTTTTTTTTCCATTAACTGCCTATAATGAGCCTAAAATTGTCAGAAAATAGTAACAAAAGTCAGAGTGACATCTTTTATTATGACAGTTCAAAACTCAGAGATAATAAGTATATAAAAGTAATATAAAAGAGAAACAAGCAGCAAATCCTCACATTTGAGTAGCTGGAATTAGAGTGTTTATTAAATTTGCTTGATAAATTACTTAAATCTAATCTATTATAATTTCCTGATCATTTCAACATCAACTTAGGGTTTAGCGTTAAGAAAGTTAGGTTCATTATTAGGTCAACCTGGCCCTTTTCCCCACTAGGCAGCCATTAAAACAGCAGTTCAAAGATTTATTAGTCAAAATGAGACCAGCAGTCACACTCAGGGGTTTGACCAAACGTACCATTACATGGAACTTACCTCATCCAGGCCCCGAAGAGTCATATTGGTGGTCCACCAGTAATCCACAGAGATAAGGATTCCCACAGAGAGAGATCTGAGGACGAATGAGACGCTCGCTGAGACTTCAAAAGGTTTGGACTTCGCTTGTAACTTGATGTGAACGGGAATGTGAGTGATTCATAAAATAAGCAGTCTGTTTTGGCAACACTAAACGGTGGTCATATCAATCGTGTTGTTTCTTAAAAGAATCCCAGAGATTGATCTCAGTATCGACGGATCTCTTAGGAAGACAACACAGCAATGGCACAAGTTTAATAAAGACCATCCGAAATACCCAGTTACTGTCCAAAGGCAACGTCACATTGACTTCTTCAACACAGCGTGTATTTGTAAAACGACATTATTTAATCCCAATATATATATATATATATATATATATATATATGTCACATATTAAGTTTCTATTTATTTTACAATTTTTAATGGGTAAAATCTTATTTCTATGAGCTTAGCATCAGAATTTATTTATATACACACACACATATATATATATTTATATATATGTGTGTGTGTGTGTGTGTAGTAGTTGTTAGCAGATATAAGTGTTTATTAATGTATTTATTAACAGCTGTAACTGCTCCTTTGGCCACCAATAAGTGGAGGCTGTTGTTTAAACATTACTGGATGATGTGGTAAAACAGAGGAGTAATAATATAAAATATCTTTTTTTTTTATATATAATTGGTGATAAATAATCTACATTACTAAACACTTCAAATGTCTTTATAGTTGTTTTCACTTATATTATAGTGTGTTATAAAACATGTATTAAATGTTTTTACACTGCTTATAAATTCTAAATAGGGTGACTTAAAGTCAAGTGGATGGTGAGTTGTGTATAAATATAGATATCAATATAGACAAACCTGCAGAAGCGACCAAATCCTTCAATCACAATCCTCATCTTCCTCCTCTCTCTGGGTTCTGACACTGCATACTGGACACCCACTGCCACAGGTACGCCAATAGAGATCCCAGCAAGCGTCTTCCATAACAGCCCTCTGCGCCTACCTTCCCTAGGAGGAGGAGGAGGAAAACATCCCGATTCATCCAGACAGCAACATCATCGTGGACAAAGGTTAACCCGTGATTATGGCCTGGCTGGTATTTGGTACCTGTGTGAACTGAAGAATCTGGTTGCTTGGAGTGATGAGCTGGGATGTGGGTATCTTCGGAGCAAAGCCGTGTGATGCAGACACAACCTCAACTAAAGAAAACCAAAGCAAAACACTGAATGAGAATCCCCCTTAACACATTCACATTTATCTCTGCGATGCATATTATCTGACTATTTTTTGAAAAGATGAATTTTTGAACATTTTTGCCTTTGTTTGTTTGTGAAAGTGGAGAGAGACAGGAAATGTGGGAAAGGATATTAACTGACTTTTAACCAGGAGCCTCTGTAATGAGGACAAAGTTTAGTCCCACAGCCAGTTTAGCCCACTGAACTCTGGACTAGTTCACACAGTGTTGGATTTTGTTCTTTTTTTGTTTGTTTTTTTAAACAGGAACTGCTCGATTTTAACCTGAACTGTCGACATACTCTGGAGCCCATACCAAATCCAAAAATGTAAAACCTGGCAAGCATTAATAATTGTTGCATTTCCAGTCATGAGGCCACTCTGGCTACAGAACAGGTTTGTCACAAAGCAATTTAAGCATCAAGAACAATGTAACCGATATACAGTGTCAGCACAGCTCTGAGAAAGAGAGTGTGAGTACAAAATCTGTTTACAACCTCAAAGAGACAACACCATTGTATCCATGAAAAGCACAATGAGCCGGCAGCAATAAAACACTTCATGTACCGATTTACAATAGCTGCAGTTTTCTTCTTGCAAATCTGTCTGGGCTTGTCAGCAGCAACTGTTTCACTTTTCAATATTAAGATTTTTTGTGATGTGAATTGCTCATTTTTAATAAGTAAAATTATTGATGTTGTTTATAGTAGACAATTGTTGGTCATCAATTTAAGTGTACTGTAGTCGTCTAGTTGTGGGATCAGTTCTCCCTGCAGAATCCTATGGCTTTTTGGTGCTGCTGTGATGATCCTATTTCTCCATAGTTGAACTGAAGCTATTTTCATAATCAATTTATCTGCCAATTATTTTTCCTGATTAACTGGTGAATCATTTGGTTTAGAAAATGTCAGAAAATGTCAAAAAACGCCTCACAGTTCTCTAAAGCACAAGGTGACATCTTCATATTGCTTATTTTGTCTGACCAACCGTCTAAAACCTGAAGATATTCAGTTTACAAAAATGGAGAAAAGCTGAAAGTCCTCAAAATTAAGAAGCTGGACCTTTGAGTTTTTTGCTAGAAAGATTACTTACAACAATTCAAGTGGTTGTCAACAATCAATTGAGTCATTGACCTACTAGCAGGATTGTCGCTGATAGGTCTGAGGAACCAGGTATCACTTAAGATCCTACCACTACCAAGCTGGCTTTATGAGATAAGCCCAGATACTGTTTGCGTAACAGCACGAGAATGTGTGCGTGCGTGTGTGTGTGTGTGTGTGTTGGGAAAGGAAGGCAGAAGAGGATGAGTCTAAATCAAGGCCAATATGGCCAGCCGGGATACTTTGTTGTTTTTGTTCGCTGTGTGCATCTGGGGGACAAAATGTCTCCACAGCTGACTAATTGATGTACAGATAGCAGTAGTGTCAGGGACCTGAGCACTGAAACATCAAACAAACTCTCTGTCACTCACACACTGAGCAGCACGAGTCTGAGGACTGTTTCCCATCATTCCAATGAATGACACAGCAGTCAGTGAGGAGGGACAGTTAACTGTATTACATGTGTGTACATTATAACACTATGTAATAAACTGCATAGTTTTATGTAAAGACACATTTCATAGACATGACACAGTCACCTCTGAGTCATGGCTGCCAGCAGTAATGGAACATTTTACAATATATCTTGGCAACCTTGAAAATATATTAATTTAAACGTCAAAAATAATCACACCCACGTGTCAGTTTCACTAGAAAACACATGTTAAGCTCTTTAGTACTTTAACACAAGTCCATCAGTATGTGTCGCTAACACGACCAGCTAGCGGTGCTAGCAGTTAACTATGCTAATTGTAGTAAGCTGCTGGTCAACTAGCTGATTTTACCTACTGTGATTCTCAAACCGAGCTAAAAATTCTTTAGGAATATCATTATTTTTTTACCACTCTGGAGGCCTCCCCTGTCATGTTTTCCCGAGTTTATACAACAGCTCTGCTCAAAGTGATGAATTCATGTCCAGGGTGTACGTCCTCTTGAAGACTTGCACCGCCTCTTTGATTACTGACCATCTACCGTACCACCTACTAGCATGTCTACTATTGGTTAGCCGAAGAGTGAGCAGGCGGGAGCGAGAGGATGGCCTCCGTCTTACTTCCGTTTTCGCTTGAATCTAGACAAAATACATTTGTTGTTTTTGTTTGTTTTTAGAGCTTTATTTTGTTCATAGGTCAACTTTCTCTGCCCAGACCCCCAGTAGATATATAGCCGTGGTAACAATTAGCAATGAAACTAACTTTTTCAATTTTCTATTAAAATTAATTTAAAGTGCAAGTGATTATTTTTTACAATATTAACTTAGAAACTACTAGTTAAAAGTTATAAAATTATCACTGAATGCAGTGTGAATTAAAAATTATTATTCATTATTCCGACTTTATATGATAAATACATTAATTATTACATGGATTCCTCCAGTTTCCTCCTTAAAATACATTTGTCTCCTGCTTTGATGTTGAGAATTTCCCTTTTGTGGTCACTTACAGATCTCTCCCAGAATGTTTCAAGACATATAAACACACACAACACAATTAATAACGTCTAATATAGTTTCATTACATAGTTAGAAATTCTTAAAATGACATGTATTCCCTGTCCCTTATTGAAAGTAATCCAGAATCTCTGAAAGCTGAACTACATCACTGAAAAGTCTATTACCTGTGTATATGTGCTGGACGTCACACTTATGTAAGTTAAATATTAAACCATGATTGGCATCCGGACTAATTGTGATGCTACAGAATTATGCTCATAGTCACATCTTCATGTCAGATTTATGGTGAGCAAAAAGAAAAATGCCCCTCCAGCTGCTGCATGTGAAACTTCTGAGTGAACGAGAACTTTAAACAAACAAAAAACCATCCTTAATGATAACATTTAGTGAGAGTGGGAGGCCGAGCCTGAGTCTTTGAATTCTGTGAAGTAACAGTGAGTGGAAATGAGGACTGGGCAGAGATGTATCTTGATAATGCACTCTTTGGTAGAAGGTACTGAAATAAAACGTCATTGATCATATGGAGTGGAACGAGGCATGCCCTTGTACTATTAATTTAGTTACTTGTTATTCAGGTATCATCTTCTCCTTTTACACAACCTATCAAACCAATTATAAAACTAATCATTAACAGCAACTTATCATGTAGGATACAACAAAACTTGATTTTGAGAGTCGATAATGATAATAAACCTGCTTTAATTTCGCTGACCCGAGCCCACTTAAATACATTTTTGTAATATAGGCTGATAAACTGGGGGGCCATTGCGTATTTCAAAAGAAAAAAAGAGATTATGGCAGAAGCCTACACAATTGCAAAGCATGCAGCCATAGCCTACCACCAACGACAGTGTTACGTGAGACAATAATGTATTATTTCTAAGTTACATCATCTTACATCAGGTAGGTCTCTGTGGATTAATGGTCCTCACCTCTGGCCGAGTGTAAAGTTGTAACAAAGAAATAAAAACAAGGGAAAAGTATATGATAGCTTGAGAGCATTTTTGTTGGGATTATGTCGTTATCTTATATAATCAATGTGATGCTGTATAACAAATGTATAAACCCGTTTGGTGGCAAGTGCTGTCAGTGTTGGGAATTAATAACGCTGTCCAACCACAGTAGATTTAGCCAGAACGAAACGGAAACGTGGATAGGTCTTCAAAAGAAAAGTTGTAAAACTGTTCACTTACACAAAAAGAAACAGATACACTGGTAAATTCATAACAACAAGACACTCCAAATAACCAATATGATATTTAGATAACGTATGTAGTGAAACTGTTGTTCACTAAACTGTTTCAATAAATAATATGACGCTCGAATTTCATTTGGGATTTTATTTTGAAACCTACGTGGAAATGTTGTGTTTCTCATCTAGCTGGCTGCATGGTCTACCGGATGCTGTAGCGACCCGTGTCGCTGCAGTGTTGCGCTTTCCTGTTTACGGGCGGGAAGAGCGAACATAGCTGAGTGTGGAAGCTACTGTGTTTAAATCGGAGGCACATTTGTTTTAATTCCCTTTGATTCTGATGGTTTGCACGTTTTAATGATTCGCGGGGGATTGCGAGGTCTAGTGGGTACGTTTTAAGTGGACTGTTGTTAAAAACTAAAGGGATTTTTGGAGAGTGCGAGGCAGATGGAGGATCCTCCTGCAGATTCTGGCGGTGGTGGCGGCGGTGCAGCAGCGGAGGGCCCCGCGGTGCAGGTGGCAGATATCTGCTGGCCGACCGGGGCTATCCCGCTACGGCTTCTGGAGTGGAAGGTCAAACCCGGGTCTCTTGTTAACGTGGACTCCGTGTTAGCACTGTGTGCTCCCATACCCCAGGAGAAGGGGGCAGAGGCTGCCAGGCTGCCAGAGAAGAAGGTGAAATCGGACCGTGCTGGAGTAGTGAAGGAGCTATGCTGTCAACTTGGACAAGTCATACCTCCCGGGTGAGTCACTATGCCTGCTATAGCTAGCTAATGTTAGCTGACCTGCCCCCTGTGTGGAAAGGCTTCAGGCAGCATGTCAGTTGTAGTTTTGTTTTCGCTGTGCCACCTACTGACTTCACCCGTGGTGTAACGTAAGCTAGCTAACAAGCTAACATAGCTAAGTGTGTGTGCTAAGATAACGTTAGCTTGTTTGCTAGCTGTTCTCAAACCAACACTCACAGCATTTGCTCGTACCACTGTCAAGCGAGAATGTAAACAAGCAGACCTTTGGCTGGGACTTTCAAAATAAAAGTGCACTCTTTTTAGCTAATATGTTTCTGAACTTTTTCAGTCGTTTTAATTATAATGGAAATGAAACCAATTGTTAAGCTGAATTGCAGCAAACATTATATGATTTTATAAGTTGTTTTCTTGATAAACTTGCAATCATTCTTGCGTGCTAAAAAAGTGACGCCTTTATTTTGAAGGCAAAACCACGTGAAGTTCTGTCTCGTTTTGTTTGTCTTGACTCGGCCGTCCCACGCGTGCACGATATGTGAATGTTGACAGGTAGATAACTGGCTCGAGGCTGCTGTTGTCTGGTTGGTGTTTTCTGTCTGCTTCTGCCTGTTATTTCAGAGAAAGGGAAGGTATATGCTCAGCAGCTATAGAGTAACAAATGGTGTCTCCAAAAAATATTTTATTTAGCGCGTTTTTGTATTTTGTCTTAAAATAGTCCCACTTGTTTTGTGGAATATATCTAATATAAAGGGGGATCTGCCTAACAGTCATTTAAAGCTACAATTTTTATATCCACACCTCTGATATCAGTGAGCATTTACATCTATGATTTGCTGTCACACCTGTAAGACTAGGAAGACTTGTGCTGCCTTCAGGTGCTCTATGTAAAATCTTACACCTGACTTTGAAAATCCCTGCTGCTTGTTGTGACAGTAAGCTGCCCTCAGTCTGAAACAATTGTAATGGACTGAAAAGTGACTGCTTTTATACTGATGTAACACTAGCCTGCAACATATTCCAACTTAGTAATGTTTTCCAAATAAATGTAAAAGGTTTGTTTACATCAGTAGTGGCAACTGTGTGAGTTATGCCAAGTTATTCATTAATTTAAATATAGATGTTTAGTTGACTGGAATTACAGCTTGTTCACTGAAGAAATAGCTACGGATTATTGCCAATATTGACTGATAATGATTGATTAATTGTTTAGTCTGTAAAAGATCAAAAAGCTGAAAAAAGAATGGCTCATCCTAATTTCCCAGTTCAAGGTTACATCTTCAAATGTTTTGTTTTGTTTTGTCCGACCATCAGTCCTAAACCTAAAGAAACAGTAGCATGTCCTCACACTGCAGAGCTAAAACAAAAAATGTATGTGGCATTTTAAGTCTGTCTTTTGACTGATGATTATTTGACTAATCATTGCAATATTTGCCAGTTATTTAAAGCAGTTCACTAGCGTATAGTGTAAAGGCTCACTGCTAACCTGTGTGTTTCAAGTGTAAGGATGTAGCATTCAATAAACTACATTTACACTCAGGACTCAATGTCACAAAGAAAGCTTTTCATTTGAGAATCCTGCTGAAAGCTGGAAATAATGTGCACTATTACTTGTTTACTGTACTAACAGTAATTATTTACACTCATGTTTCTTTTCTTTTTTCCAGGGGTGTCATTGTCAGAATAGAAGAATGCAGCCACCCGATAGTGATGAAGGGTTTATGTGCTGAATGTGGCCAGGACCTGACTCAGTAAGGAAACACACACACAGTCATGTTTCTTTTACACTTAAGCAGAAGCATCTATGTTTTTATTTTCCAAAGCAGTTCGTGAAAGATATGTTACCAGGTCACCTGACACCTTTCACCCTCATTCAGTGAAAGGACAGTTTTAGATCTTATTGATTATTGATGTTTTTAAAGACGTTAGATGTTCCTGTGGTTTAGAAACTGACTAACTACACAGTGTGACCAAAAATATTTGTGGTAGATTCTGTTTTATTTAATGCCATCAGGTGGCACCAGAGATCATACAGAGAGAGCTGAGTACAAAAGTGTTCACACTCTATACTCTCTCCTGTGCCAGTTTGATAAAGATGTAAAATTTACAGCTTGTGACTAAGAATCCCTGCCACAATGCAATTTAGTAGAGGTCATTGATTTAAAGCCACATATTCATTAGAGGTATTGTTAATAAAGGTGTTGCTTGAAAGATAAATGGAAAGTTGTTTTTAACTGTCAACACCTCAGTACATTACTAGCACGTAGGTGGATATCTGGGAGCACTGAAATATTAAACAGCAGGGAATCATTTTGCATGTCATCATAACCTGATTCATGGCTTGATCGACAAAAAATGTAAGTGTGAAGTAGCTTAGAAATGCCAACAATCAGCCAAATCACTCGCTAACTGGAGTATTTTCTGTAAACATTTGCTCATATCAAACCAGCAAACAGAGCTAAGTCAAACAAAATTAAAATTTGCGTGTTTGTGAAAGCTGCCTTTTCTTCTCAGTCACAATATGTTTAAGGACCTAAGAGATACACAAACCGCAAAATGCATAAGTCTCACTTTTTTTCTCTCTCTCTCTCACTCTCTCTCTCTCAGGCTGCAGAGCACAAATGGGAACCAGCAAACTCCCATCTCCACAGCAACAGTCTCCATGGTGCACAGTGTCCCCGAGCTGATGGTCAGCTCAGAGGTGAGTCATATGATGGAGACACCTGGAAGACGAGGCTAGTGGGGCAGATGTACCTCACATTTGTTCCGTTATAAGATCTCTGTGTGTGCCTCGCTTTTGGAAGCACAATCTCTCCAAACCCTTTCTGTATCTTATGTATTAATTTGTGAACCTTTTTGGAATTGTGCCACATTTTGTGTCTTCCAAATGAATTGATTTTTATGCCAGAAAATTCATAAATAAGTAAATACTGAATGACAATGACAAAGGCATCCATTAAAAGAGTCAGTTTAGGCCAAGTTTGCATTCTCTTTCAGTTTAAATGATGTAGTAAATATATAATCAAATACTGCACAATATTTTATTGTATCCAAGATCAGTGTGGATGATTGTTTTTTAAGTTTTTTGTTCAAAGTCAAGGCCAGTGTGTCTGTATCTGTAAAAGGCCAATGATATGCCAGAGCTTGTAATTGAGGACAACACATACACACACACACACAGGAAATAGAGAAAAACAGCTAAAACTCAAAGCAGACGAGAATCAAAAGCTGTAACCTCAAAACTGTATGTGGATCTATGTTAAAGTTATCTTAATAATAATACATTTAAGTTATTAAAAAAACATCTAGTGTTGGTTTCTCTGATTTTTAAAAAATATTTTTTGCATTATCTTCATTCACTCCACCAGCAAGCAGAACAGCTAGGCAGAGAAGACCAGCAGAGACTCCACAGAAACAAAAAGCTGGTCCTGATGGTAGATCTGGACCAGACCCTGATCCACACCACTGAACAGCACTGCCAGCGGATGTCCAATAAGGTATTATTCCCTCTTATCCACATATAGTAATCTCATCATGACTGTGATAGAGATAGAGCGTTTATTTCTCATTTACGTTTTATATTCTGCCACTACTTTAAGATATTTTTTTGTTGATATTACTGTTTTCCTCTGCTTTACCTGAAATCGTATTTCGTAACATTTGTACCATGTAAATTGCCTTTGTGATCAGAAATCACAAATATAGGATAATGGTAAATAATAAAACATTATTTACTGCAGCAGAAGGAAAAGGAAATTTAAAAAAGTCATTAAGTCAGCAAAGTTATTCAACAAATTTGTTAGACAGCAACAATTACAATAAGTTTAACAGTAGCCACCATCTGGTCATACCGGAACAAGTAAAGCTGTCTTAGCAAAAACCCAGAGTTTATGGAAGCGATTAAGTGTGTGTGTCTGTGTCTGTGTGTGTGTGTGTGTGTGTGTGTGTGTGTGTGTGTGTGTTTCATTCCTTATGAATTCAACTCTTTATTTGTGAGAGGAAGAATGTGTTAATTCTTTCTCCAAAAGTCACTTTAATGCTGCTATAATGTCAGTGTCATAAAACAAATGATTGTTTTTGTAGTCAGACCTTTTTAATTTGTGTCTCGGTGCTACTCGTTGCTCTTTTTGGTTCTCTTCTGTTCCTTTCTTCTGTTATTCTCCCGAGTGACATCAAACTGCTGTCTGTCGTATCATTGCAAAGTCTCAACAGAATTTACTATGTGTTTGTTTCGTGTAGCAATTGGTGCACTTTTTCATTTCTTGCATTTACTTTTCATAAACAGTTGTCAGACTTTAACATTGTTTAACTGAAGCTGTTAACTGAAGCACAGATGTTAACCCTTAAGTCTGTGTTTTTTGTGTTTGGCTGTGTTGTAGTTAACGCTCGTTATTTCCTCCAGGGCATTTTCCACTTCCAGCTCGGGCGTGGAGAGCCCATGCTCCACACACGACTACGCCCGCATTGCAAGGAATTCCTGGAGAAAATTGCCAAACTCTATGAGTTACACGTCTTCACGTTCGGGAGCCGCCTTTATGCACACACCATAGCTGGTAATGAGCTGTTTTTATTATTTATTTATATCAAAATGTAGAAGCAAGCAAAGTATTTAGATTTTGACATTTCAGTGAACCCTCTGCTTGTACTGCCTTTTTGTGTCCACAAGAGGGAGGTGTCCGCTCGTGTTTTCTATTCCAGCTGGTGTTGTGTTGGTCCTTCCTGCCTCTCTTCATGTCGTTTGCAAGCAGCAGGGGTGCTACATTTTCAAATAATTATTAAGCCAGTTAATGTTTCGCATCAACACTTTGTCTGTTTACCTGCCAAATTTGTGTTTTTCCATCTCCAGCCTAGTTTCAGCAGCATGTGGCTGCTAGCTGACTTCTGTTGGTTTCCTCCTAAATTAAGATATTTCAGTTTATATGATTGAAGGCTGGATTATGCCAAAGTGTAGGTAGGGTGTTTATATGCTGTCTTTTTGGTATTCAGGCTGCAATATTTCATCATACTGTAGATAATAGAGGCAGTCCTGGTCCAGTACTGTTCTGCCTCCATATGATGAATGTTTAATGCATTTTCAATTGGATTTTACTACTGGCCCTGATGCAGGCAGGTCGGCATGTTTCATAGCAGGGCTCCAACTATTGATAGCTTCTCCAGTGGTTATAGAATCCTCTTTTCTGACTGCCTTCGTTGAGGCAGGGTACGTCTCTATTTCTGTTCAAGGTTTCTCCAAAGACTGTATATTTTTGTGTATTCTGAGCCTCTCATTGAATCAAGTTTTGAAAACTTTCTCTGGGTTTCTAAGAGAAACTACTCGAGAAAATATAGTGAGAATGTCATGGAGGATGCTGCAAACGATAGTGTCACTTGTGTCATAGTAATGGTGCAGTATATTGTTCTATGCAAGTTAAATACCCACCGTGGCCTTGGAGAGGAAGTTGATGAGTGAAAATAACTGAACTGGCATTGGAGCAAGTGTATTTCTTCTTCATATACTCACTTATCGTTCCTTTCTTAGGCTTCCTGGATCCTGAAAAGAAGCTTTTCTCTCATCGGATCCTTTCTAGAGATGAATGCATCGATCCTTTCTCCAAGACGGGGAATCTTAGGTGAGAACTGCCTTCTTTAAAAGATGACAACTAGATCAATTGCTTGTAGTCTGGTCTGTGGGTGACCCTGCACCAGTCTACTCTCTGGACATTATTTAACTTTATTTTGTTTTAAGGCAAAAAAAAAGAGGATTTCCTCTTCATTTCCTCCAAGGTTATGATCACACCGCCTGTTGGCAGCAGTGAATTCATCCGTCTCAGCCTCTGTTTGTACCATGAATCAGTCATTATTGTTAGAGGAGCACAGAGACTCAATGTCACTTATGAATGGCTGTCAGTGACGTTTCCTTACAAATAAAAAAACTGGGAAGATTGATGTGAGAAACTGAAGTGCCTTTTTCTTTCATTCCTAACAAAACACTGTCACCAAACATCACTACAGGCAAAGAAAGTTAAATTACAGCCTGTCAGAGTTTGAAGCTCTAGCAAAAAAGCTGAGCTTTTTGTCAGTGTCCTGTGTGATTTTTTTGACAGGAACCTTTTCCCTTGTGGGGATTCGATGGTCTGCATAATCGATGACCGAGAGGACGTGTGGAAGTTTGCACCTAACCTCATCACTGTGAAGAAATACATCTACTTCCAAGGCACAGGGGACATCAATGCTCCCCCCGGATCACGGGAAGCTCAGATGACCAGGAAAGGTAAAGTAGGCGCTCATCTTTGGTAACTTGATGCATTTCCCGAAAAAAACCCCTTTAACGACACAGTTGCTGACAGTTTATGCAACACAGAGGGTCAAATGTACAACCGAGGATGTGCAGTCCAGGGATTTATTTCCAGTGCCCTGCACATTCCCCTGTGAGAGGCTGAAGTTAACAAGCAAGTCAGTCCAGTGGACTCGCTGATCCTGGGCTGCTCTTAAAAGTTCATGATACTGAATACGTCCATTATATAGTTATTAATAGATTCTCAGAGTTTACTGTACTGCCCTGTACTGTACAGTCAGCTCTGGCAACAAATACACTGCAGTAGAACTAACATTGTGTTCATTCTTTAAATTATGATGAAAAACTTCCACTGTTATGAGATCTAAGATTTTTTTATACCATAAGTAAATATTGTATTTATGTATTAATGTTTTATAAGTGCCTTTGTTTTATACCATGGACCAGATAGTAAAACCTGACACCTGCAGCAAAGGTCTTTGTTGCTTTTCTAAATTAAAGCACCAGTGTGAAACTCCCCATAAAGACAGCAACAGTGGCTCAATCAAATAGTTTGATGGTAAGGATAGTTTGTAAGGCAATTAAATACAATAGATAAATAGTTTCTTAGTGAGAACCCACAAATTTAGTTTCAGAGATGTCCGATATTTGTATGAATCAGGACGTCTTAACAGATTAACAGTAGGATGAAGTAAAAGTGGATTTTTACCATTAGCTACGTTAGCTTTGTTGAAGCTGCAGCCTGTGGTCTGAGAGTCTGAGACCAGACTCAGACTGTGTTATTACTTCACACACTTCTGTTGTACAAATACAGGTTTCCAGAAAAACGGTCATAAATGTAGATATGGCAGTTTTTGTTTTACATGTGTAAAGAGTTGTTTGTTTAATATAAAGCATAACAGTGGAGTGAGGTTCATTCATTTGATTGTTTTATATGTGATTTTTGGATACATTTTCGTATTGAGATATGTGTCAGTGTTGTAAAAATATGCTTTTAAACACATCTAGCCTTTATTTTTGTTTTTTTGAGGTTTCAAAAAGGTTTCAAAAAGCATAAAATTAGATTTGAGATAGTGTACAAAAATCCTGCAAAAGGTTATCTCACTGTTTATCCTAATATAATCTGTTTATTTCTGTTCATTTACCCATTGAGAATAGGCTACACTGGCTAAACCCAATTGCCTCTATATATGTTCCCTCCATATTTGTCATCCTGTCATTCTCACCTGTGAATAGAAACCCAAAATAATCCTAGCACCTGTTTGAATTAATATTTATATTAACCGACTGTTGTATATTAGCCAAACGATTACTGTGTCTGGTTCCTTGGTCACATCACTCTCTACAGAGAATCACCCAGGCCAGGCAATAAATACTCATCAGTTCAGCCAGTACCCTCAATTCACATAATGAGCCTTCTTACCTCCGTCTACAAAATACATCATCGTCGTGAATTAAAAGCACGTGTCAAAGAGCAAGGATAGACCGTCTTAAAGGGTTCTAGTTATTTCTGTTTCGAACTCCTAAGTGATGTTGCCTCATAAAGGGAATCCTTTCAGCTACACAGTGTTACTCTCTTCATTATCATAGCAGGAAACATGCTGCTTGGAGCCAGCCAGTGTGTCTCCTTGGGGTCTGTTGTGGGGACCCCCCCCCCCCCCCCCCCCCCCCCCTTTACACCCACTCTTCTCAGGCTATCACATCAATTAGCTGATAACTCCTGGTTGTACTTATCCTATATTACAACAGCTGCCAGGCTCAGCAATGGCTCTTATGTTGTTGATAAATTCAAAAGGTAAAACAGTGGGGAGCCCACTGGGTATGAATCATAAATCAGATAGAACTCCTTATTGATTATAATGCTGCATGTCTGACTTGAGCCCAAAGCACATTCGAGTCCAATGTAAATACAATAATAATCTTTTTATGAGGCATTCTCCCCAGGAAACTCTCTCACTACTTTGCAAGTGAAATGTCGAATATACATTTATCTACACATGTTGTAAAACTCTCCGTCTTTACATACACACATTTACATAAAGGATTTTATTAAATCCACAAATCTCTTGGTGGCAGCAGCTGATTTTTTAAGTAGTACTTTACTATATATGTAATTGTAATTTTATAAAAAAAAAAAAAAAAAAAATTAAAAAATATGAAATGACGACACTAGTTGAGTTTTGAAATGAATAGAAAATATAAATGAAATAAGATGGAGACAGTGTTGTCCAAAGTTGAAGTGTGAAGCATCATTCAGCTATCTAATGTTGGGTATTCTTTAATCTCCAAAACTAGCTCAACTGAAAGCTGCATTATTTTTTATTTGTTTATTATTAATTAAACTTTGGGGAAGCACAAGAAGCGACAAACACAACACTGATATATAATCACCTTGTTAGCAGTGAGAGCGGAGTCGTAAAAATCAAAACAACAAACTAAAAACGTGCTAAAATCCTTTGTAGAGCTCAAGAGAATTGCAGACTCAGGTAGTAGTAGTTCTGTAATATATCTGGGTTCATCACTGCAAATGATTCCTGTCACATTACACAGTCAGAGACAAAAATATTGTTTTGTGCAGCTTCAAGTACACCTCGAAAGGGTCTATATATATATATATATATATATATCCCTATATATTGACTTCAGAAGGATCATACAGTATTTGGCTTGTTGTAAATAATGAACTACATATTCCTTCTGTTAATACACTGTAGGTTGTCGGACATTCTTCATCTTGAGATGCAGTAATGTCAGACAACAAGGGTTCTTAGTTTTTGAGAATGTATTAAACAGTGTTGAAAAGTTTTGCCCACAGTCTAATTTGTTGTATTTGTATTCTGAAGGCTGGCGTCCACTGGCCCGTGCCTGCTCTAGCATGCCCTGCCGCCTCCGATTATTTAGCTTCCCTCTCCTGTCCATCCAGCCCCATGGTTCCCAGTGACCTGCTTCCTTGAATAAGCAAACTTCTTATTGCCAATGGAAGTGTATGTTATTCAGAGTTTACGGTGCACTTCCAGCTCACTGAAAAATGTGTTATTTTGCCTCTAAATCCTTAATTCTCATTTGTTCAGGTTCGCCTGTCTCAATATGAACAACGCTATATGGGTAAACGATCTGTGACGTTGACAGGTTATCACTTGACAATTTTATTTCACGCTTAAACAGAGTCGCTTGCACAGGAATGACTCAGTGTACCCAGAGGAATCTGATTTGCCTCAAAGGAAGATTCTACAACCCAAGAAGGGTTTGCCAACAGGGGCATTCAGAGCAGCTTCCTGAGCTGAAATCTGGGTTACCCCCTGGGCACAGCGTACTAGTGTTAAATGTTAGGAGGGTTATCACGGACCTTCCAGACTGCATTAAGGCTGATGCTTTTCTCACGGTGAAAAGGGCCAAAACCATCACCGCTAGTGAAGTTGCACGGATTCAAGTGGTGCATGTAATATTAATTAAGCAGAGGGAGTCAGTACAAAACGTTTAAAAATAAACTGCATCAAACATGATGAAGTGTCCAACTAAAAGTTTGGCTCCTTACTTTTAGTTGTGGTGAAGATTGAGGTTGCAAATGTGCAAAAAACATTGTAAAAGGTTGTCATAGGAGTCAGAAATATCACTGAATAAATCATTTAATAATACTATTAGTTAAATGACGCCTAAAAAGAAATTCGTAATACTTTTCTGTTTGCTTCCAATTAGTTGGTTTAAGAAAAATAAAATGTTGTGTTTTGTATCATCACTGTAGAAATAATAGCTAAAGCATTTTAGATGGTAAGCTAATGATAACAAAGTAAGCTAGCTGACACTAATTTAAAGTTCACAGACGTCTTCATAACATTATCTTCATCTTAGAGCCTGTCTCTTTTCAACAAGGACTACAACGAACATAAGTCAGGGACTTTATTGTCGTATTCTTCACATGTAGATTGTGTGTAACCCTTTAAAACTTGTTAGTAGCATTAGCTAGCTAGCACTGTTAGTTATGTTTTTGACTTGTTTGATAATCTTTTACTGACTCCGTGCAAGATAATCTCTGCTGACTAGTGGCTTCAACCTAGTTTTGTAGACTTCCTTCGTCATGGGAGAATGTAAAATACGACTCTGATGCACTTTCATGTCTTGTTTCCAGCAGGAGGCCCCTCAAGTCGGCCGGCAGACAGCACAGAATCAGCAGGGACACCTGGTGCAGAAGAGCAAAATAATGGCCTCAGGAAAAGGGCGAGGGACCACAACGTTTCCGGAAAGGATGAGCCCACAACATCTCAGTCTTCTCAGGGAGTACCAACAAATGAACGGACTCATCCCACAGGGGTTTTGGAGGATGAATCAGGACAGAGTAAAGAGTCAGTGACTGAGGTGGTGCCTGGGGCGGGGTCAAGAGAAACTCGGGAGGGGGATAGAACAAATGTAAAGGAGGATGATAACAACAGGACGCAAGAGGCGCAGGAAGGTGTAAACTCATCAGCGCCCAGCCATGAGTCCAATAACTTGGACTTTGACCTTTCCAGTGACAGTGACAATGACTCCATTACAGAAAAGCCTCCTTCATCAGAGGACGATAGTGAAGGCAATCCTGGACAAGCAAAGAAGGAGGGTGTTACGCAAGAGCCCAGTGATGGGGAAGGGGTGAGGATAGGGGACAGTAAATGTCGGGGGGAAGGAGAAAACAGCTCAGAAGCAGCAGAACCTTCAGGAGTTCTTCTCCCAGACCCCGAGCTGGGAAATGGCTGCTCAGATAGGAGAGAGCCAGAAACAGAGTCCCAGAATAGTGAACAATCTGGGGTCACCATGGGGGAGGAGCTGCTGGACCAGAGCATGGAGGAGGAGGAGGAGGAGGAAGAAGAGGAAGTTGATAATGACCAGGACGATCACCTGATCTACCTGGAGGAAGTGCTAGAAAGGATTCACGCCGAGTACTATGCCCGCTACGAGGCCTTCCTGAAGAAGGAGGCCTCCGAGACGCCAGACATCCGCAAGATTGTCCCAGAGCTGAAAGGCAAGACACTGGAGGGCACAATGATAGTGTTCAGTGGTCTGTACCCGACCAACTACCCCATGGAGAGGACTCGTGAGTACTACCATGCCAAGGCACTGGGGGCAAAGATCGGCAAGAATCTGGTTCTCAGCTCCCCAGATCCCAGTCGGACGACACATCTCATCGCAGCACGAGCTGGTATGTAGAAATCCAAACGATAGCAGCACTATCAGTGTTAAATTTGACAATTAATTTATCTTTTTAACAACTTTTTTTAAACATGAAAGGATTACCTGTAGTGCTTTGTCTGACTTGCGTACTTTCATTATGTTCCAAATTCTGAACACAGTCGAGGTGTGTTTTAGTAGCAGTGTGCTGGAACCGTTCATAAATGATGCATTAATGCTTGCTAATGAGGGTAGAATTTACCAATAGGACATGGAGTGTTTCTTGTTAATTACCTAGACTGTGGCAGTTAATAATAACATAAAAGATCTCAGAACATAATGTTTTGCACCGTTGCTTCATTGTACAGTTTTGCACAGTGCGTGGATCCGCTCAGCCCCTCCTTCCACCCCAGTCTGTCCCGCTCTCTCGCTCTCTGACACATTGACAACAGATAATGTGTCACAGTCGGAGTAGTTGTACCAGTCTACATTTAAATTTCCCTTTAATCGACAGGGAAATTGGTCGTTAGGAACATCCCTGGTCAACGTACGACAGTGAGGGGTGTAGCACTTTAGTGTTACCTCTGAACGAGCAGCAGTGAGATGTTCTGTTTTCATTACCAGTAACTTCATACAGCTCTCATATGGCATAAAGAGAGTGAATATTAAACACTGAGATTAATATCAGTGAGATGAAATTTTGCTGTCGGACATGCGTGTCGTTTCCTGTGAATTCCTCGCACATATGGAGTCAATCTGAACCCAGCACGGAAATGGCAGTCTCCGCCACTACCAATAAAAACAAATGTAAAAAGATCTTGATCAGACATAGCACAACATTTACAGATTAATTGATAGCTGCCGCCCTGGTGTAACAGTTGTGTGACTTCTGTGCTCCTCCTCAGCTTGTTTTGAAGTTCTTACTGACCAAAAATTGATTAATACTTTGAATATTAAGGGTTAAAATTGATTCTTTCATAGTTCCTTGAGACTGCTCCTTCTCTGTAATTAGGCCCAGTTGATTGACAGAAACAAAGTTCACTGCATCTGCCATCAGAGAACCATGAGAAGGCTGCAGGCTATGTTTGTGTGGCTTTTTTCCCAGATGGTAAAAGTACTTGCACTTTTAAGGCCTAGATTAAGATTAGTTTTAGAATAATGTACCGTGTTGGTTTACACATTAATTCATTAAGCACCATTGACACCATCTGCAGAAATGTTCATGCATTTTCTGGTAGTTCACAAGATACAAACAATACAACATAGGACTCTTGTCCAAGACTCTTCTGAAAATGACGACTGTATTGCGACCAATCCAGTTAAGCCTTTTGAAAACAAGCGCAGGAAGTGGCATCGTTGCCTTGGAAGCCAGCGCCGCTGAGAGCAGCACTTGGCAATCAGTCACTTTGTACATCAGGAGACAAAAATCAGCCAGAGATGGAATCAGCGCGCTGTGAGCAGTAGGTCCACTCAGACAGGAAAGAGCTGCAGAAAATGCCTGTTTTATTGCCAGAAAAGCAAAATTGACAGATATTCATCGTGTGCATCTCACAAAAGTAAATGATTAATTAAGTGTTTACATCTGGACAGCATTTAACCCGTGGATCTATCGAGGAGAAATGGACACTGTGTTCAGAGATGACGTCCCATTAATTCCCATGAAAGTTGTTCACTTGTTTGATCAGGCTTCCTCACGCTTCTGTGTTTTTGGGCCCATAGAGCATGTGCACTAATGTCTCCCATGGAGTCACATGAATGAGACAAAATAAAATAATCATGCAGCTCTTCTCGACTTATTGGACCGAATGGATGAAATTCTGATATTAAAAAGAGTCATTTCACGGATTTGTGACGCTCAGAAAAATGTATTTACAGATTTACAGCTGCTCCTCTTCCAATGATTGTGTTTGAGAGAAATGTTTTTTGGGCCAGTGAGCGTCTGCTGGCAACATGGCCGACATTAAGATGAAGAGTTTTAACCATGGACAAGAATAGATTTTTTTCGCTGTTACAGGACCAATTGCTAGATGTTTGTTAGGATCACAATAATTCAATTTAGTTACTTAAAGTAATTAGTGCTGCTCGTTTTGGCAAAATTCATAAAACTCATTTTGTCCAGTTTGCCAATTTATGGCAAACAGCTCAGGACTGAACAGCCATCCTGCAGACTTGTGCACCAACTCAACTAAATGTGCCCAAACAGTGGTAATTAATGTGTGAAAAAGCATTTGATTGTTAGCCATGCATGGCTAAAATAACCCAGGGTTAATGAGCTTCTACAATCAAAAGATTCAATTTGGCATCTTTGTGTAAAACATCAATAAGTGTTATTCAAGCAGAAACGCATCTCTCAGTGGATTTCACCCAAACAATACTCAGCTTTCTGTGTTTCTCAGAAAACTGTTGAGTTGGCAGAAAAGTTAAATGGCAGTGGCTCCAAAACACAAATCATCCTTTTCAATCTTACTAATAATATTGACCAGGCAATTATTTTCCCTTTTCTCTTCCAGGAAAGAAAATCGGAAAATTGATAAATTATTCAGCAGACCCACAGATTGTGTATTTGGTTATAGCTTCTGATTGTAAGGGTCAAAACCTTGTCCTCATTCACTCCCGTCACCCAGGCACCGAGAAGGTTCGTCAGGGACAGGGCTGCAAGCACCTCTATGTCGTCAACCCCGACTGGCTGTGGAGCTGTCTGGAGCGCTGGGAGAGGGTGGAGGAGCAGCTGTACCCGCTAAAGGAGGACTACTCCAAGACGCCAAGGTAAAGGAGCTGTCTGATGAGCCATGGTCTTACAGGCCTCCGCAAACATAATAGATGTGAACTGATGACTTAAAAAATACCGCAGATGTATGAGAACCTTCCTCTAGGATTGTCTTTACTCTGAGATCTTGTTTCTTGTCCGTTAAAGGAGCAACAGTCCAGCAGCTTTCTCTGACAATCAGGGCTCCCTGCAGAAGCCTATTTTCCACCCAGCTCCCATCCACCACAGACCTCCACCTCCAGCCCCAGAGGTCCGGACCTACGACCCCGTCACAGGGAAGCTGATCCGCAGGGGCCCTCAGGTGTCACGGCCACCACCCTATCTCCAGGCATCAGGGTCTTTGTTGCTCTCTGATCACAGAGAGCAGTCTTGTCTCAGGTACTGCAAGAAATGAATTGGATTTGTGCAAAATAAACACGCAGTGGATGAGGCTGTCTCAAAAAGAGCTAGACAGCTATAAGTCTGACATGAAACAGAGCAGCTGACCTAACATATAAGCTTCCAGGAGAGTTTTTGTGCTTATTAAAAAAATTAAATAGATTTTCTGTTTTTCAGGTTCTAAATCTAATTCTGAAAAATTTAAGCTTAAGCCTATGAAATGATCTTAAATAAAATATTCGCCACATCATCAAACCTTTACAGCCACTGTACCTTATTTTCAGTTAATCCCACTTAAACTCATAATAACTGACTAGAGCAAATGTGTATTAATCCACTGCTGAACACACTCCTCATATAAAAAAAAAACACCACTTAATCCGTTTACTAAAAACTACAGTTCTACACTGTTTAGGAAAATCCTTTTTTATGTATTCATTTATTTAAAAGAAACTTTTTTGTGACCACTTTTTAAAGATTTAATTCTTAGTGTCACAGACATGATCCAGAAGTATTAAAGAGACGCATTACTGGTTTTGGTGTTTTAATGGGATTTGTCCACAATTACAAAAAAAAAGTGGATGTTGAAGTTAAAGGAACTATATTTGAGCCTTTTCGTTAAGACTAATTTGGTTAATATTGTGTTCATATTATTTATATGTTCTTGTTTATTTATTGACATGTTCTGTCTCTTACTTTGCCGGTCATCTCTCACTCTATTTCTCCATAAATGTTGCCCCTTGAGAGTTGTGCAGGATTGTAGCAGTATGTATAAAATGCATAAAAGTGTGAGTTATGCTACTGATGTTTCTCAGTTTAATATTTACTGCGGATTTGCTCATAACACATCTCAAATGTATGGCTTTGTCTTCTAGGCCTCATTTGCATCCCGCCCTTCTCTGTAAGCTGAAACAGCTTTCGGTGTAGTGCTACAATAATATTTGAAATACCCCCAACGGTGACCTGCAGCGCCTTCAGTTATCAACTGAGGCACAATAAAACCCCCCCTAACAAAGCTTTTACTGTATGGATTGTTTATAGCATTTGGTTGCAGGGGAAACCGTCAACCCACGAGTGTGTAGTCTGTTGCTCCCAGACGAGCCTCTGTGCTTGCGTTGCACATCTTTTCATCTGCACACTGGCTCTTAAATAAAAGCACAATAAAATCCAGGCTACTTTACACTACTAGGGGAAAATGTCTCTCTTCAACAGAATGAGATGCTTCTCTTAAAATGTTTTATACTCATCCAGTCATATAAATATTTGATTCTGTTGTCATGACCTTGTTTAATCTCCACTTACAGTTTAACAAGAATGATGTGGCAGGTGCAAGGAAAGCTTCACAGTCACACGTCAAAGTCACCTTTGTGATGTACTGCTCTATTTGTCATTGATGTGTCGGTCACAAATGCTAATGAAGAGTGTGTCCTCTCTCTGTGTATTTGTTTGTCATTGGGCTGTCACAGAGACGCAGTGGCCTGACGGTTTTTCACAAGAGGAATACAAACTGTGACTTTACTCTCCTTACTGGACAGTCACGCCGGCTTAAAATGTTTTGAACTGAATTTATCTGAGATGACACACTGTAATTAATAGTCACAAGCATGAAATTGGCCCACTTTATTCGTGGATTAGAGGCAATGTGGATGTTTAAGGGAGTTGCATAAACTTGGATTTAATCATCAAAGCATCTGTTCAATTAAGCACTGTCAAAGGGAAACGTCCTCTTTCCACTTTCATGAGATTTTTATCTAATGAGATTTTGTTACAGAGAAGAAGCCTTTGTAATTCTCATCGTTGGTCTCCAGGTCGACTTTCACTTTTTCACCCTGCACTCTACATCTGCAAATTGTTTGCATTGTGAAAAATGTGCTGATTATGTACAGTGTTTGCAAATTAATGGAGTTCCCTTGCAGTTTCTGTAAAGAGTACTCTAAAAACAAGACTGCATTTGAAAGCAGCACAAGCTAACAAGATAACAACAAAAAAAGAGTCATTAAATTACATGTAACAACATGTAATAAGTATTCATTTTCAGTGATATTAGCACATTTATTGGTTGACTCAGTTGATGACAGATTTGTCAATTCATTTAAATTTGTTGATTAATTGGCAAAAATGGCCTCCATACGATTTCAGCCACATTGATATTTTAAAAACAGCAGATACCTATGATATTGACAGTATAGACAGATGTCACTGATATCTTTCTGTTAAGCTAACTATCTAGTGGTTTGCCTGCAAAGTGTTTTAAGTATTTCGTCTGTTTATTTTACCACAGGGGAACTTCAAAGACTCAGCAGGATGACGCGGCGGGGTCCAGCCAAGACGATGAGCAGCCGGGACCGTCGCGTCGGAAACGACAGCCGAGCATGTCAGAAACTATGCCTCTATACACACTGTGCAAGGAGGATCTGGAGAGCATGGACAAAGAGGTAAGGAAGGAGGAAACACTCCTGTTGACTCATCCTTCTATTAATTTGTCTAGGAATAAGAACGCCCCGAGAGGCTTAGAAATCTGTAATGTTGTGAGACGTTTACATATAGAGCCAAACTGCTGCTCCGCACAATAGAACAAGCTTTGTTAATGTCACCATAAACAGCAGATTTGCTGCGTTAAGCTTTTAGTAGTTCTGAAACTCCAGCATAACAGAGTCCTTGGTGTTTATACTTCTCTTTCACTCTTACTTTAATGTTCTTAACTTTATCTGATAAAATAAATACCACTGAACAACAGTTTAGTGGCATAAAGACAGAAAACAGACTCCTGTTCCTAACTTTATCTGATAAGATAAATTCAAGTAAACAGGTTAACAGTTGCATGGTAATAATAAATATTATAAACCAATGTTAGGCCAAAACAAAAATGAAAATAAACAATAACAATGAATAAAACATCTGATAAAACAAAAAAAAAATGCCAATAAAATCACCAACAATTAATATAAATGCCAAGATTAGAATTTAAGAGCTATTAAAGTTAGATAAACCCAAATTAAAAGCCTGATTAAAAAGAAAGGTCTTTAATATAACTTTTAAAAAAATATCAAGTGAGTTTGCTGTTCTAAGATCAAGGAGAGGGTATTCAACAGTTTAATGGCATAAAGACAGAATACAGCCTCACCAGAATTGTTGTTCGAACCTCTTAAATAAAAGCAGTAAAAGGTCTGAGAGTTCTTATTGGAACATAAAATGAAAGGCAGCTTTATTAACAGGTAACAGGACTTTAAAAATCCGATGCAGGGTCATGAGCAGGGCGCTAATACAATACAATACAATCCCTTTTTTGTGTTAACCAAAATCCTCGCTACAGCCTTCAGAATTAACTGCAATTTTCTTGAAGACGTTCTATGTAGCCAGTAAAGAGAGAGTTTCTGTAATCTCAGCGAATTGTAATAAAAGCATATATCATCATTCTAGCATTGCTTGGAGTTAAAATTGTTTAATTTTGGCAATATTCCCAACATTAAAAAACAATGTTTTTGTGACCTCATTAAAATGGCAAATAAAATGTTTGTCTAAAAGATCGTAAACCGTTCTCTGGTGAAACAAACATATAAAGTTGAGTATCATCTGCGTAACGTGATATGTAAAAAGAAAAAAGAACAGGACCCAGAATTCTTCCTGGAGGAACACCATAATCAATATGAAATCAATAGGATGCAGAATCACCTGATCATGTTTTGACCAAAGGTAGCTGTCATTTTCTATACAGAAACATTTACTGTCAATGTCACCATTATGGATATTTGAATGGTTTAGGGATTTTCAGGTTTGGTTGTTGTAGCCTCGTGTTGTAGTTTCAGGTTGGCTGCCTCCCTGTGCCTGTGTGCATTTTTCCATGTCAACTGCTCTTGTCATTTGTTGGTAAAACTTATGGAAAAGTTAGTAGTGCTTGGTTTGATAGTTCAGATCTCACTGCATTGTCATGTATGATTGAGATGTGAAGTTTTGAGCTTGCAAAATTCAAAATGCATTTGAATACATTTTATTATGCAGCTGTAGTAGATAGCTTTTGGCAAATTGCAATGGCTGACTGAAATATTTTGCATCTATAGCCTTGAAAACATCAGAGCAACACATCCTTTAATTATGCATCCTCTTTACATTTCCAACCTGTCATCTATTCTGATATTCAAATCCTTACATATGCTATCATGTCAGCCTACTTTCTGCATTTTATACATTTTTTTGCCATTCATGCAAGGCAGGTGAAGTGATTACTAATGTCTGAGAGCACTGCACCTCCTGCTTGGATAATACTCTTTAATGGAGGCTGGATTCGGCTTCAGCGGGGGGAAAATGTGCAAAGCGGATCCTTGAGATCTGCCAAGAGCCTCTCAGCAGGTGATTATTCTAAAGAAAAAGCTTTGTGGCTTGTTCACATGGGACATGAAATGTGACAAGCCATGTTTGAATTGAGGTCACATGTTGCCTTGCGGTAATTATTTGGTCCCTTTTTCATTTAGTGGAAATATCTCATTGTAGATCTGCAATGGTTATCACTCAACTACTTGATTTTTCCCTTTAAATGACCTATAAATATTAACAGTATGTGATTTTGAATGATTTGCTTTACATTATAGCCATCTTAAAGCTGCAGTAATCAAAATCTTTATATTACCACTGCATGATATTACAGTGTGTAGTGTGAAAGGGTTCACTCATAGTGTCAAACCCACAAAGAATTATCAACAAACTCTCCAGCGCTATAGAGCGTTTTGGAGCTCATTGTTTTTTGGTTTTACAGCCCACTACGTTACTTTTGTGGTTGACTCCCACAGTGCTTAACAGCCTCGTTTCCAGGATGTGTTGTTTATTGATGTTTTAAAAAAAAAAAAAAAAGAGAGCCACATTACAGCCTTTGCAGGTGTTTTCTGGGGTGGGATGCATTTATATTAAGGATGCACACAATACATTTGGGTGAGAAATATTTAATATGAAGGAAAAAGTTTAGGCCTGTCCTTTAAAATGAGTCGATGCAGCAGTCAAGAACCCTGAGTGACTGTTTGTGCTTATAAAAACAAAAAATATAGTAAGAAAAAGCATGTTTGGTTTTTCTAACTATATTTATTATTATTAGTATGTACTATTCTTTTTTTGTTTTTGAACTGCAAGCACATGACCAATTAATATACTCGGGGGCGGTACTACACTCAGTAACGAATAGCGGTGGTATCGTCTCTTTAAACCTCTAATACAGCTAACATAGGTTATACTGTATGTCCTGCAAGGAAATGGGATTTTAAGTTAAATTTAATGGAATGATCTGGGTGTCAGTGTGATTGGCCATGCTTTAAGTGACAAACTGACTCCTGTTACTGGGATGCAAAAGAGTCTGCCCGGTCATTAACTCAATTGAATTCTGTAGTTAAGTTACTCTGTAGCTGCAGGCGACAGCTCAGTCTGCTGTGCTATGCCTTTCTGGAAATAGACTTTATTATCCTTATTTTTTCTCCTGTAAAATACTGTGCTATTCTGAACAGGGCTTTTGTTTAACATAACCTATTGCCACAAAATAACGTAGTGTGAAATGTTCCTTGGCCTTGCAAGTAGTGCTAGATTACCACAAAGCTAGCTAGCCAAACATGCTAACATTTATAGCTTACATTAGAGCAGATAAACACACTGTTAAATCCATTTCTTACAGTTGTGTTTGTTTTTGGAAAGGCTTAAAAAAAACAAGACCGACCCTCTAAACTTTTTAAATGTTGAGCACCACTCTTATTTTAGCCCCATACACATCACATTGGCCTGCTTAGAGATCCAATTAGGGAATAAGTGAATAGTCAATCACTTAGTTTAACAAAAACTACAAAAAAAAACAGAACTATTGCATTTCCCCCTGATAAATGACACGGCAGAGTACATTGTGTTGGAACCTAACGATCCTCCCTTTCTCGATGGAAGAGACACAGTCCTCCTAAAGGTAATTGTTCCTGTTACCGCTCAATTTTATTCTTCATACACTGCGGCTATGGCAGAAAATAGGACATATTTTCAAAGATCATGTCTGTGTTTGTGCCTATTAGACATCATGGCGACTGCAGCAGGAAGCAAACTGGAAACAGTTTCTATTATTAATCTGGAAATGGTACATTATGTCAGTGGTTGGGTCAGGCCTTTTGTATGATTGAGTCACTAAGGTGGTTCAGACTCAAAAAGGTTTTCTCTGTCCCCTTTCTTGGATAATGTGGGGTATCTGAAAAGGAGAGGATGTGCTGTTTGAAGATCATACTTTTCATGATAATTTGAATGAACGTCAGCAATACAATTTGATAATGGATGGCTTTGAGTCATTGCTGACAACGTGGTTAAATTGAATGCGTTAGGTTTCATCAGAGAAGGGAACAACGTGTCTTTCACAAAGAGAAATGGATCTTTCCCCGCATATGTGTTGTTTAATGTTGAAATTATGGAGGTCTCTGAGCTGTGTAAAGGCTGGCCTCTTATGAAACGTTCGTGAGCAAGAACAGAATTGATGTTACTAATGTGGCAATTACTCATCTTCTGTTAACAGACGAGATCTGTCCTTTGTCAGCAGTACATGCATTCTCATGTATCTCACCTTGGAACCACAAAGGCCTTCTCTATTTAGTGCCAAAGACCTGTGCTTTTATATTTTTATGAACCAGTACCATTGTGCAGTAAAACAATATCATTGCAGCGTGGCCTTAACATTAATTTTCATTCAATTAAAGGCCAGCCTCTTGCTTATGTAGCACTATCAAAGTGGAAGATCGCATTGGTTAATGAGGGGTTCATTGCTTACACTGTGTGTTGTTCCCGGAACACCAGCGGCACTTTTTTGTGTAAATGTGACATTTAAGTGGCTTGAACATAAAGCTGAATGAAGTTCACCGTTGAACAGGGACGATTTGATGATGTTTTTTTGCCCCATCTGGTTGTTTTTGTTGTATTGTAACACACTGGCCCCTCTATTGGTTCAGACAAAGCTCATTTCAAAAATAGTTTGATTTAAAAATGAAAATGTCAGGCTGATTTTTCAGGCACACATTTTAAAGGTGATAAAATAACACTCGGCTATTAACACAGAAAGATTCTAAACGCTAATGCCACTGTTTCAAAATGACCAGGAGGGGGGAGTGAAGTACACAAAACCCACTCGACTGTATCAATTTCATTTTACTTCATCACTTAAGAACAACATTATATTGCTGCACATATTGCATCACAGTATACCAAGAAAAAAACAAGGTGAAACTCCTCCAGTCTGTGCCACATAGGGTTTGCAGTTATAGAGCAAAGTCTGTGTGAAACAGAACATGGCTCATAAATGTGTGATTTTTGACAGTAAACACCGAAGCTCAGGACTTTCTGTCAGGCTCCGATAATTTGGAAGTTTCTTTATTTACTTCTTCTGCTACTTGCAATTAAAACTACATTGTTCCCCAACATCCTCTGCACTGTAGAA